AAGGGGGTAAGGGGGTGCAAATCACCTAAATGCTATTTTTAACACTATTGGGTAAGGAATACATGTTTGCGTTCCTTTAAAGTTTAAGGCTTCCTTTTTCTAAATATCTTAAAAGCATTAATCTTTGAGGTTGTATATAAATGTATTTTATTTATCCTATATACATTTTGACCTCCATGGAGACAAATGGCCCTTTCCTGCTCCATACTATTATCAAGACATGATGGCTTTCTCAAATGCCATCATGTATTATTTTGTTTATTAAAATTCAACAACAAGCAAAAATAATATCTGATTTCCTTGAATAATATCTGTGTGTTACTATTAAGGGGTGTAAAACGATGCTGCCAAAGTAGAGAATAGTAGTGTTAATATCTACAGATTTAACTGACAAAGAATTAGTAACAATTAAAAAAAACATTACAGGTATATTATGATATAGTCAGCGAAAGTGGGTAAAAGCTTCCAAATTGGGACTAAAATATGCATATGTTATGAAAGCACTTTGGAAAATGAACAGCAGGATTGTACTGCCACCTAGTGTGTATAAACAAAATGTATCATTATACACCTGCTATTCGCATAAGAGGAACACGTAAATAAAGAGAAGAGTAAACATGAAAAAGAAACGTAAATTGGAAATATAGATGGTGTATTCACATGTTAGTATAGTATTAAACATGTTTAAATTGAAGTTGAGATTCATAATGTGTGAAAGTTATTAAGTGGTTGTAAATAAATATACTACATAATCTATATGGCTGGTGCTATAATCAGCTTAAACATATTTTACAGAGGTACTATTACACCATTTAATAAAATAATGAAAGACGGCTAAAAGTTGCAATAACCTCTTTGCATGTGTTGCTAAGTCTACTTTTAAATGCATGTTAAATGTTTGTTATATATGCATCTTAAGGAATTAATTTTGTGGCATAGATGTTGCACTGCAAGGTTCACATTTTGCAATTTCCATCCACACCTACCAGTGGTTGACAGTCAAACAGCCACTAGGGACTTCTAAACCAGTTGTAATTATTGAATTTATTTGATCTCTGGTATCAGCATGCAAAATATACCGACACGGAACACTGTCTGCGTCCAATGCTTCTCAATGAGAAGCATCTGATTAGAAAAAGACTTTAGATTTAATGACTTTACTACAGAATGATTAATATCAATAAAAACATGTACGGAATTAACCACATAGACATAAGACTGCCACATGGGAGGGGAAGGGGACAGCAACAACTAAAATCTAAAAATAAAAAGGGTATCAAAAAGGATATGTACATATTGAAACATTGCCCTCATAAAATGCCATGGTCTTGATATAGCTAACACAGGTAGCAAAAAATCATATTTCAATTTCCTCACTGAAAATAGCATTTTCTTTTGCAATAAAGCACAAAGGCCCTTGAATTCCATTGTATTAGCTCTTTTTTTTTTTTTAGCCTGAAAAATATTATTATTATCTTACTAGCACAGCTTTCATCAGATTTTTTTATTTTAAAGATTATGATGACTTATAGCAGCCCTTTTAATATAATGTGTCAGACAATGAATTAGACTAAAACATATGGATAACTACTATTGGGACCAGAACATGTACAATTTAAATTCCACACGTCAATTTCATGTGATTTCACAATATTTTTCCAACGGGCTTTCACAGCTTGAACATGAACATGAATAGACAGAGGGTGATAAAATTACTGACAGATTATTAGGCTGATTGCCAATTACATTGCTCTATACCGCTCATTGGATATATTACATAAGGGGTGTTGCCAACAGTTGTTTTAAAGCTGAAGCGATTTATAACAAGCTTCTTTGTCAATGATAGGATTAGTACTACGAGAAGACAATTTTTTTGGTAACCTTAAAGTTGCTGGGTCCACAAAACTTTGCATTGATATAATAGGATACAATAAAATACAAAAACAATATTAATACACAATATATACAAAATTTAACATAGAACAGGACTTAGAGCCAGGGCCGGATTAACATGGGGGCTGATGGAGCTGCAGCTCCAGGCCCAGGCCCATGAAATAGGCCCATTTTTTACACACACTACTCTTAGGTTTGCCACCTGACTGGTATTTTACCGGCACAGACAGTATTTGAGGCTGCCTGGCCGTGCCGGTATTGCAATAATACTGGCAATATAAATGCAGATATTTTTCTCAGTATAAACAGAGATTACTGTGCAATACCAGCACCAACCAGTAGGGGTCACTGTGTGTGGAGAGAGGCAGGGATAGCAAGTTACAGCATATCCCTCCCTGTCTCTCTCTACTCACTGATCCGCGGGGGAACAGCTACACAGCACAGAGAGTCCAGACAGCAGCTTCCAGCCTGCGGAGACAGCCAACAGCTCAGGTAAGTGAAGGATGGGGGAAAGGCAGTAGGGAGACATGGGGACCCTGAGACACTTGGGGACACTGAAACACTAGGAGACACTGTGAGACATGGGGACGCTGAGACGCATGGGGACGCTAAGACACATGGGGACGCTGTGAGACATGGGGACATTGTCCCCATGCCTCCCAGCCAGTGTATCTAGTGTATCAGTGTCCCCATGGCTCCCAGTGTTCCCTAGTCTCCCAGTGTCCCCTAGTCTCCCAGTGTCTGTGTCCCCATGTCTCTCAGTGTCCCTAGTGTCTCAATGTCCCCATGTCTCCCAGTGTCCCCAAATGTCTGTGTCCCCATGTCTCCCAGCCAGTGTCCCTAGTGTCTCAGTGTCCCCATGTCTCCCAGTGTCTGTGTCCCATGTTTCTCAGTGTCCCTAGTGTCCTCATGTCTTCCAGTGTCCACAAATGTCTCAGTGTCCCCATGTCTCCCAGTGTCCCCATGTCTATGTCCACAAGTGCCCTTGTGTCTCCTAGTGTCCCCAAGTGTCTCCATGCCTCCCAGCCAGTGTCCCTAGTGTCTAAATGTCCCCATGTCTCTCAGTGTCCCCTAGTCTCCCAGTGTCTGTGTTCCCATGTCTCTCAGTGTCCCTAGTGTCTTAGTGTCCCCAAATGTCTCAGTGTCCCCATGTCTCCCAGTGTCTGTGACCCCATGTCTCTGTGTCCCCATTTCTCCCAGTGTCCCCATTGATTTCCTGCTTCACTGGACACTGCTGTTAGGGGGTATGAATTTACTTGAAAGATGAAAGCATAAATTAGAGAGAGATTAGCATAGAGTATGTGTTTTCTTAAAGCTGCATCCTTTGAGTTTCCCTCCAACACCATCTCCATCAGATGTATGACTGTTTTAGTGTTTTTTGTCGATAAGATTCTTATCATGACTGCTAGTGTGGTCCTGCACGCAGAACTATGTAACATCTACATAGACAGAATAGAAAATGATAATGGTCAAGGGATAGCCGAGGTCAAGGAAGCCAGAAATATACAAGGCCATTTAACAAGCTAAGTCAGGGAAGCCAGAAATCAGAATAGTCAGGAATAGCCAAGGTCAAAATACTGGGAATATCAAAAACAGGACAAGAAAATGCATTCCCAGGAACCAGGAATGAAAACCACGACAGGGCAATAACCTAGGTTAAATATTCCTCTGTCCTCTAACCCCAAAACGTGCATGTGACCCTGGGGGGCAGAGCTATATCTGGCCACGACCGCTTGGTCAGCGTCACCTTGAATCCAGGCAAGCGGCCAGGAGAACCGGGCAGAGCGGCTCCCGACTCACCGCTGACCTTGTTGCGAGCCGGGGTCGTGACAGTTCTGTAATTAGGCCCCATCATAACTGTCAGCACCAGGCCCACTGGGCTCTTAATCTGGCCCTGCTTAGAGCTCAGTGTGTGAGCTGTTAGTGTGAGTGTGTATTGATGTGAGAAGGTTTTGTATTCTTGTGTGAGTTCACTAGCGTAGTATGATTGAGAGTTATATGACTGTTCACCAGGTGTGAGTTGAGTGAGTATGTTGGTCTGAGCTTAGGGTGTGTGAAATTTTAATGTATGTAAATGTATTCATTATAAGTGATATGAGAGTGCATGTAGGTGCAAGCTAAATGCGAGTTACGCCAGTATGTGTGTATGTAAGTACAATGTATTCACAATACAGTGAAAACATATTTTATATATACTTTAACCTAGCTTAATAAAAAAGACAGCCATTGGAAATGTCACCTTTATTATTGTTTTACTTCTTACTTTACTTATAATAATAGCTACATACTTTCTGGAACTAGTGAGTGAACAACAGACTGAGGTAGGTATCCAAATAATATTAAAGGTGGTCCTAAATTCAATCTATTATACACGAGAGGGGCATGTCCGGCGGCCGAGGAAGATGGACGCCTAAAACAAGAGCTCCTCGTGGCGCCCGCTGAAACTCTGCAGTCACCCACGCATCTTGCTCGCCCACACACCAGAAATGGGTCGCACAAAAAAACTAACAGACCCCAACAGCACCCCAGGATCCTCGGGACGGGAAGGGGAGCAATCCATCCGCTCCTACCTCCATGCCGCAACCCCGCGCTCACTCACCGCAGCGGGAGGTAGAGACTGCAAGCCAGGAAATTGACTCCTTCCCCTCCACGCTGGCCAGACTATCGCCAGCACCTTCAGTGATGTCGGAGACGCAGCTCCCGCAGGAGGGTGAGTGGAGGGCCATACTGCCAAACCTAGTAACCAAGGCCGACTTTGAGGCCCTGTCAGACCGCCTAGGCCGTGTAGTAAGGGAGGAGGTGGCCCAGTTACGTGCCGACCTGGCCAATGTGGAGGCCTGTATGTCGGTGGCAGAGTCTGAGACCAGGGCACTCCGCACAGACCTGGAACACACAAACTCGACTGTAACTAACCAAGAAACAGACATAGCCAGCGTCACCACGTGGGCAACCGCGGCCGCAGAATGATCCTGCGCGTCCACGGGGTGAGGGAAGGTGACCCAGCAGAACACATACCTGACATATTAAAACGACTTTTCACCCAGGTACTGGGGGGCCAGCAACTACCCAGACTAGGCCTAGTCAGGGCGCACAGGGCATTGCGACCCATGCCGGCACCAGAAGAACAACCTAGAGATATCATATGCTGCCTAGAAAATTACCAACTGAAGGAAGACATTCTGTGCATGGCTCGCCGCATGGGGACCATACGCTTTGAGAGCCAAAACGTATCGATTTATCAAGATTTGTCCCGATACACCCTGCAAGCCAGGAGAGCCCTACACCCAGTAACATCTGCCCTGCAACAGGCAGGAATACTGTACCGCTGGGGCTACCCATTCTCACTTTCAGCTAGGCACGGCCCAGATCAAGTGACCTCCCAGGTTTCCTTCGAGCTATGGGCATACCACCGCTCCAAGTACCAGACTGGCTGGCGAGATCATTTCTCCAACCACCGCCTGGACCGCAGCAACCACGCAGACCAGACCAGGGTCCTCAAAGGCCCCTGCAACAGCACCGCAGAGACTGGAACCCAGGCCCAGCAAGGCGTGAGCAGGAGTACTAACTGAACGCTGTACGGAGAAAAGGGTCTGAAAGACCGGGGACTTGCACGCAGCAAGGCGAAATGCACAAACTGTGAGTACTATTTGGGGGGACATATGAGAGTATGCCAGCCATGCAGGCATACGCTGGTGTGGGGGACGGGGACATAGGGGAACTGAAGCGCAGCAAACCACACATCGAAAAGACAACCAACCACAAGGGTTTCCGAGCTGAAGAAAACCATTGCGCGCTGGCAGAGCCAAGGGAGGGCACAACAGGACATTTGTGGTGGGATAAGGGGTCACGCTTCCACACTGGCATTGCAAAGGCCGGGCGGACGCACAGACAGTGCAACTCGACTGAGCCGTGATACGAGACACAATACTGGGAGCCACCAAGGACACACGTAGGCCGAATAAACAAGACCACCACAGGGGATGGAGGGTTAAGATGGCACCACGAAAGAGTCGGAGACGAGGGGGGAAAGAATAGAAACACAACAGCAGAGGGTAGGGAGAGGAGGGGGAAATAGGAGGAGACCAGGAGGGAATGATATGCCAGACAATCAGAGCCTCGGGGGGAGGGGGGAGGGGGAAGGGGGCAAGAAATAATGTTCATATTTAATTTAATTCCCAAAAATATATATAATTTACATCTATATGCATACGATGGGGGAGGAAGGGATAGATGGGAGATACGGATACAAGGAAAGGAAACAGAGGGGGAGGGAAAGAACGAGAAAGGGAATTGGATGCCAAACTGGGGGGGGGGGAAGTAATGGGAGTCGGAGCGGATGCTCCAACCGCACAGCCACTAAGGAGACGTGTGACCACACACTACGAACCAAGCACGTTATCACATTCCACACCTACACAGCATTGACGGACGCCACGCGGCGCACCAAGCCTACTAGGGCATATAACCCGACACCCCCACAGGTATAGGACATAAAAGTCCCCACTAGGAGGGGACGTACCACTCCCGGCACCGACACAGGCACACCACTGGGTGGGACCTATAGGTCGAACAACCGGGACACTTGTCCATTATCCTCCGCACCATTATCCTCCGCACCCACAAAGACTCTTCCGCACCCACAAAGACTCAACCAACAGCAAGTACCTATACAGCTTCAACCGGAGCCTAGACGCAAATCCGATCACACCAAACCGCACACACACACACCCTGGACCCACCCGCCCCACCTCGGTCGCCCCTCCGGGCCGCACGGACGATGCCAGTACAAGAACCCAGCGGCTTCGCCAGAGAAGATTTATGCATAGTATCCTATAATGTACACGGCCTAAATGTCAGGAAGATTACTGCGTGACTTGAAACTCTACAAAGCTTCAATAGCGTTTCTCCAGGAAACGCACTTCCAGGAAGGCAGGGCACCAGCCCTGAAAGACCGCAACTTTCAAACAGGATACTTCAGCCACAACCAGGACAGACGGTCACTGGGAGTCTGCATCCTCTTTTCAAAGCGAGTCCCATACACAGAGCAAGCCACCATACGATGCAAGCACGGCAGATACATTTTCACAAAAGGCACGATATTGGACCAAACGTACACATTCGCTAACGTGTATGCCCCAAACACGAAACAACACCACTTCCTTCAAAGTACACTGAACACATTGATGAAATTCGCGGAAGGCACCTTGATCATAGGAGGAGATCTCAACCTGGCGATACACCCAGAACAGGATTCCACATCTACACGCGGAAATACACCGCTCAGTAGACACGCCAACACACTCCGCCTCTTACACCTCCACCAGCTGGCGGACTGCTGGCGAGCACTAAACCCGTCTACCCAGGACTACACATTCTACTCCACGACTCACTCGACCTATACAAGACTCGATTATTTCTTAGTACCTCATCATAATCTAGCCTGCTCAACACCGTGGAAATCCTACCAATGACATGGTCAGATCACCACCCAATTCGCATACGGATGATGTCAACACTATACAAACCCAGACAAATGTCATGTTGACTGAACTAATCGATTCTATCAGACGTCACGGTCGTAGACCAAATCAGTCACCACATACAGGATTACTTCAAAGACAACGAGACAGACGATGTCACCCCACTGACATGCTGGGAAGCACACAAAACGGTAATTTGAGGCAGACTCATCGCGATATGCGCGACTCGCAGGAAGCGGGCGGTACAGACGATACTAGAACTCAGCAAAGAAATCGAGGCATTAGAGGCTAGACACAAACGCACCTTGGACAAGAAGGTATACGAAGAACTCATGACCAAACGGAACCAACTCACCACACACCTGAACCGCGCAATCCAACGCTCATACCAACACTACAAACATATGATCCATGAACACGGGGACAAATGCGGGAGACTATTAGCGAATCTCCTGAAGCAACGCCGAAACCAACTATATATCCCGAAAATCAAAGACGCACACCAACAACTCAGGCACCTACTGGATCAGATCTCGACAGCGTTCCACGACTACTACCAGGACTTATATAGCCTCCGCCAAGCCACTCCAGAAACACAGAGATCCCGAAAAGTGGAGGACATCCGCAGATACCTGGACACGGCAAATGTACCAGGAATAGAGGAGGTAGACCAAGAAGCACTGGAAGCCCCCATAACTCCTGAGGAATTGGCGCACGCCATCAAAAAGCAGAAACGGGCAAAGCATCGGGACCAGATGGCATGCCCCTTCAATATTACAAAACCTTCGCGAATGACCTATCACCGAAACTATTGAAAGCCCTGAACTCTATCCAGGACGGAGCCACACCAACGACCCAATTCACCTCGGCGAACATCACCCTTCTCCCAAAGGAGGACACTATGCCCAAGCTATCGACCGATCTCCGTACTGAACACGGACCTCAAACTTCTGGCGAGCGTACTGGCGGCATGCCTGGCACCATTACTACCAGCCACAATCCACCCAGATCAAACGTGTTTCATCCCGGGCAGGGAGGTGAGGGACAACACCCTCAGAGCCCTAAACCTCATAGCACACGCGAGAGAGCAGAAAGCCCCAGTCCTACTCCTGTCCACTGACGCAGAGAAAGCGTTTGATAGAGTGGACTGGGACCTGATGTTTTGAAACACTCCGCTCCCTCGGCATCGGTCCACACTACATGGCCTGGGTACAGATGCTCTACACCAACCCAACGGCGCGAATCTGGATCAATGGTGCACTAACAGACCCGTTTAAGATCCACAGCGGAACCAGACAGGGTTGCCCGCTTTCGCCCTTACTTTTGGCCATGACGCTGGAGCCCTTCCTAAGCAGGATCAGACAAAACGCGGACGTCCCGGGAATGACAGTCGGAAACACACACCACAAAACTCTGGCATATGCGGATGACATGCTAGTCACGGACCCAGAAAACTCGCTGCGAGCGATACAGAAAGAATTCGACATATATGGCCGCATCTCAAACCTCTGAATCAACTACACAAAATCGGAGATACTGAACCTAAATATTAGCAACACACTCAAGCAAATGATTCAGAGCCAACAACCATATCACTGGTGTGACCACCGCATGAAATATCTGGGGATTTGGCTCACACCTAACCCGGTGGATTTATATACCCACAACTACCTCCCAATACTAACAAAAACAACGGAGGAATTGC